GGACACTGAGCAGGCTCAGCTCACCCCTGACTTCTCAATGTGCTGGGGATTAACCACAATGTGACTCCTGCACTCGTTTGCAGCCTGAATGAAACAGGAAAAAACCTCTTTTTTGACTTTGCAAGGAAAGGGTTTGTGCCTTTTCCTTTTTTTCGCTGAGAACAGCCCCTTTTCTTTTAGGCCAGACAAAACCAATGTGGTTTTTTTCTCACTAGGCTTTACTTGGAAAGGCTGGGGATGTGTCACCCCCTCCAGAGAGTGACAGAGCTCCTTGAACAGAGCACCAAGTTGTTGCTACACAGCCAATAAAAACCCATTGAGGTGGAATCAGCCACAAAACCGTGGCTCCTCTGTCTGTCCAGCTCCTTCCCAGGCTCTGGAAAGCTCCAATTCCTGCCCTGGGGACAGACTGGAGCAGCAGCCAAAAGGGCACAGGGGCAAGGCTGCAGCCCCCACACCTGCCAGGCAATTTCCTCTCCTAGGAAAGCAGAAAAAAGATGGAACAGAGCATCTCCCCTCTGCTTGTAAATACACCCTCACCCACAGCCACGGTGGTTTGTCATATCCTGCTTTAATTTATCAGTAATTAGCAGCTAGCAGTATTAACTATTCTAATTTTGGATGCTAAAAAAATTCTATGTGCCACACCTTGACAGTGTGATTATTGCTTTTTCTTAGAAAATCCTTAAACTATACAAGTGGGATGAGGGCAAGGCCATAGATGGGAGAAAACAGGTCAAGTCTCTGAATGCTGGCACAAGAATGAAGGGAAAAGTGGAAATTCAGGCTCTTGTCTGTGCTTTGGAACACAGCAGCAGTGGGTTTGAAGAATAAAAAGTGAATTTTTATCAGTTTAGCTGCTTCCCTGTACACACAGAATTTGGAACTTCTCAAGGCTGCAGCTTGCAAGGCCTTCTGGAGTAAGAAATCCTTTAATCCCCTAATTTTGATCAGTTGTCAGTGGTGCCTGCTCACTCAAATGAAACCTTAAAACAGTGACAGAAATATATATTTCTAAGCAGGAAAAAAAGAAAAGAGTGTCCAAACTGCCAAGTTTTGCTGCACCTCCAGCAGGATCAGCCCATTTCCACTGTGCAGCTACAGAAAAGTGGTTATCAATGACAGCCTCACCAAAATATTTAAGGTTTAATGGGGTTCTTTGGAGTGTGCCAGGAGGAAAACAGCACTTAGGACCCGCTGCAGGATTTCTCTCAGAATCCTTTTTTGGGTGGTTTGTTTTAACAAAGATTTTTAGAATTTTTAAAATTTAAAAATTTAAAATTTAAAAATTTTAAAATTTAAAAATATTCTAAACTTGGGCTTTCACCCTCTGTGTGAGGCAGCTATCAAAGCAGGGAGAGAAGATGAATTTTCAGAAGTCACAGTGTTCCTGCTAAGGGAGCAGCATCCCCTGGGCACACCTGAGGAAGGGAAATGGAAAAGGCACTGCCAGGTATCCTCTGCCACCTCTGCAGTCCCTGCCTGATTCCAGCCACAGCTTTAGCACCTGCCAAGGCTGCAGAAGCAGCAAAAGCCACCAATATTTCAGCAGAGAGGCTGGAGTTTGGGTTTGCAACCCTCAAACCAGCTGAGGATTTGGATCTACTTCCAGTTATGAGGAAATAAGGGCTGAGCCTTACAGCCCAGGTAAAAGGGAAAAAAATTCCTTTCCAAAGCCAGAAATAAAGATGGTTTGGCTCTGGTGTATTCATTTACACACTTTAGATCCAGTTGCTGGAACTTTGAGAATGTAAATCCTGGGTGAGCCAACAACCTGAGCCTGACCAGCATGAGGAGCTCACGGATTGGGAGCAGCACAGAGCACTGCAAAGCCACTGGGGAATTGCTGAGCCTCTCCTTGTTAGGCTGGGTTTAGTTAAAACCATCTGAAGAGAGTGTGGTTATGTAAAAAGCTGTGGGATATGGCTGAAATGGGAGCTGCAGCACCAGCCTGACACTTTTTACAAATGCAGGGCTGAGTTTCACATGTAAACAAGCTCACTCAGAAAAAGCAACCAGGATCACTGGGCACAACAATTACCACTCTAATCCGCAGATCTAATCTAAATGAACAGACAAAAAAAAAAACAAAAAAAAACCAACAAAAACCCCAGAAAAAACTACCAAAAACAAACAAACAAAAAAATCCCCCAAAAAACGCCAAAAAACTCCCAAAACCAAACAAAAAACCCCCAAAAAATAAAACAAACAAATAAAAAAAACAACAACAACAAAAAAAAACAAAACAAAAAAAAATCACAAAATAAAATATCCCACAAAACTCCATTTTTTCCCACCACAGCCCACCCTTCACACAATAAATCGGCTTTATGTGGCCACAACTCAAAGGAATTTCAATGGCAGCCTTGGCATTGCAGGGGGCACAAAGTGTGATGGTTCTGAATGGTTCTTCTGGAGCCTCCCCTTTCCCTACTCCAGCAAATCTCCTTTTTACTATTTGTTTCAACAAGCTTACAATGAGTTTATGGCTCCTGGCAGCATAATTTACAAAATCATAAAGCAGCATCATGAGAACACCACCTCAAGCTGAGGGAAATAACATTGCTGATAACACTTATCTCCACACAAAGTAACTCTTCTAGCGATATTAACTGCTCTGTCATCTGCTCTTTATACAAAAAGACCCTGCTCTGCTTTTATGTTTGATATTTAAGACATAATTTAATTATAATCTTAATTCCAATAAGTTATTTCACAGCAAAATCAATCCTGATTTTTAATTAGTCTCATTGTTCCACTTTGAAACCAGTTTTTCATTTTTATTTTCAATTTTGAAGCCATGCAACACCATAACTACTTAAATTTCAAACAAGGCAAACACCTTCCTTAGCAGGAAGAGAGTTCATTTATTTCCTTATGCAAAGCTATGCAACTCCAGTTTTACTTGGACAGAGAAAGTAGAAAAGTTGAATATCTTAAGTTATTTTGGCCAGCAAACTGTTGGTGTTACAAAAAGTTTGTCTGCGACACAATAAAGAAAGACATCCCAAATAAACAACAGATTATTTATCTTTTTGTGTGTGTGTGTTTGTGATTTTAAAAGGTTTGGAATGTGTATTTTCAACTTTTTATTGACAAGATTGTAAAACCAGTTACAGAACAGCCAAATGTGATTCTCCCTTCTAGTTTCATAATTTATTCCTGATTTAGCCAATAGCAGGTAGGGAAATATGCCCTGAAATAAGTGGGTTAAAACCTACTGTAACCTGATTGCAAGCAGAGCTACAGAATCTTGTTCAGCTTCATTTTCAGAGATCTCTGAGAAGGCACAACCTTAAAATGGATTTGTGCATGCTTCAAAATAACACTGACCCAGGAACTGAGGCACTCCAGAGATGAGCACTAACACAAAACCCACAAAACCACAGAAATATGAGAGTGTAAAACCACAGGAATATGGGAGTGTAAAACCATAGGAATATGAGAGTGTAAAACCACAGGAATATGAGAATATGAGTGTAAAACCATAGGAATATGGGAGTGTAAAACCATAGGAATATGAGAGTACAAAACTCACTCCATGCCCTCCATAGAATTGAACTAAACATTTCCTAATTCTCTGGATAACCAGAGTCACCATCAGTGGCAAAGTTAGGAATATTGTTGAAAAGTCATATAAATGCAGAGAGTAAATTGGTTAATACTTGAGAAAATATATTGTTAATTTATTCCACTGATGTTAAGTCTTAATTCTCATTATCCCAAAGAACCATATGATATTTTTGCTAAAATAAAATAAAGTTGTAGCATTAAGTGATGCCACCTGAGAAACTCTTGTTTATTCTGAAATACTATCTGTTGGTAGTTATATCTTGATTTAAGATGTTAGATGTTCAGATTATTGAAAATTTTTAACAGAAAATAAAATTTCACTTTTACCCAGAGAGTGTATATGTCTCTCATGTTATTCAGGTTTATTTAGTTTGAGGGGGAGGTATTTTATTTTTAAATAAAACAGTATTATTTGCTGAAATAACTCATGAAATCTATGTTTACTGATGTAGCAAGAAAAAGATATTCAGGCAGCACATCTTAAGATTGAAGGAAATTATCTCAATGTAGAGTTTTCCCTTCAAGAAGTTTTAATTCCCGGTTCTTTAAAGTGTAACTGTTGCTGTCCTGAACACAAAACAGCCTCAAAATAAAATCAATGGGTCCTCAAAAAATTGTAGTAACCCAGAATTGTGTAACTGGCTTTGAATTGTGAAATCACTCAGAATTCAAAGTATCACTGCATTTCTCTGATTGGCTTAGCACACACTACACCCTGCAAGGAACAAATGGGAGGCTGCGCTGCACTGATTAAATATTTATAGCCAGAAAAAATATGTCACCACAAAAGCAGCTCATCTTGTGCAAACATCTGATTTTCTTCCTTTAGTCTAGCAAGAAATCAGAGTCAGGGGGAGAGGAGAGAGTTAAACTCTGCTCTTATTCTAGCTGAATAACTCACACTTACACAGTCCTTTAAAAAATAATGAGATCCAGAAGCCAGAGTATTAGTTAGCTGAAACAAGGATGAGGATGTAACTCTCCCACTCCTAAGGGAAGAAACATTTAGGGGGGGAAAAAAAGGAAAAAAAAAATAAAACAAGGAGGAAAAAAAAGGAATATTGTAAATCATCTTCTTTCTTTCACCTTTGCCTCCTCATTAGTATGAGTTGGAGGCTCTTTCCTCCAGCAGCAGGAGCCAAGCTCCCGAGCAAGTGGCACACTTTGTTCTGTGTCCTTTCAGGATATGGAATTCCTTTCCTTGTGTCCTCTTAAAAAAGAGTTAAAAACTCTCATTCTGACCGTGGCAGGATAAGAAAATTTCCAGCTGAACTCACTCCCTAAGTGCTGCAGGGTTACGAGGTCTAAATGGTCAAATCATTGCAAGGTAATGAAGAATCTGATCAAATATAAAGGCAGTGAACAGTCTGATCAAATATAAAGGCAGTGAACAGTCTGATCAAATATAAAGGTTTTTGTGCACTTACTCCCAGAATTCCATCACTGGAGAAGTGGCATTTTGTAACGAGACTTGACTGCAGTTGCTCATGTTGAGTTTTTGAAATTCCACACAGTTTTCTAGAAAAGAACCACAAAAAAAGGGAGTTTGCTATGTTGACATGCAAGTGCAGTTATTATTAATGTCTCACTTTGTGCATCTTGGGAAGCCCCCACATTTTCTGGGTGGTTTAAAGGGTTTTTGGGGACACTAAGGGTCACAGTGGCTAATTCTGCAATACCAGGTTATGACAACTCAGACAAACATCCATCAGGACTCTGCTACAACACTTCCCAGAGGCACAGGGCCAAAAAATCACCTCAGGCAGAAAAAAGAAACATTGAGGCAATGGATTGGGAATTAAAATTACAATGTGCTCCTACTCCAGCTGCTGGTTCAGTGGTTTATGGCTACCAAGGGAACATGGCCAGCCACAAACTGCCACTTTTTCCTGATAAGGAAAGTGGGTATTTCCTCTGGCTTATCACTATCATCATTATTATTATTATTATTATTATTATTATTATTATTATTATTATTATTATTATTATCTTTAACACAAAGGCCAAAGCAGCTCAGCACTGAGGAGCATTTGAGCACTGATAACACTGGCCAAGCTCCTTGGCAGGGCTGCCAAAATTGATACCAAAGCCTTCCACATCCACTGGGCCCAAAATTACCTCCCTAAGATTTCAGAAATTAAGGTTTCAGGCAGATTTAGGTGTGCTCAAAGAACACCAAAAATGGGCAATTAGTGCAAACTATGAAAGACAACATGCTCGGTACTTGATTTGAAACTGGATTGTACATAAGGGATGAACGCAAAATTTCAGGAACAAGGACAGTGGGATGAGATCCTCCCCGTGGATGTTTGGGATCTAGAGACTCAAAGAGCAGAGAATGACAGATATTTATATAAATGAGAAGACAGATGCAGAGCCCTGCCCTGCAAACCCTCCTGAATACCTCATCCTGCATGCAGGAGGCTCCTTTACATGCACAGCAAGGATTATTTATGAGACTACATTTCCAGAAGTAGCTTGATGAACATTATCCCTCAACATCTGGCATTTAAAAGAGCAATTCCAAAGATCCACATTTAACATTTTTCCCTCTCCATTCAAACTCCTCCTGACTTCATTAGAGTGAAAGAGCAAGATTGCAACCTGTCATCAGGTCATTCTCTGCTGCAGAATTCACTCAGTGTGCTCAGGGAGAATAGATATGATTGCAAATGAGAGTCTTGGGATTTAGCCAGAAGATCTTACAGAATTAACAAATCCATAGTCTTTTTCTGCTGACATTCTATTCTAGAGGAGTAAATGCTTTACAATGACCTAACCCAGAAAGGTCCAAGGCAGTTTCACTCCAGGTTTCCTTTTTTTTGCTGTAGTGGGATGAGATTGGCCCATTTGCACAGATTTTGCTACACCAATAGCTTTGTTCAGGACATTTCAATATAGTAATCAATCTTTTGGGAGGATTTTACCGTGGTAATCTCTGCTGAGGTCATACCTGTATTCCATTCGTGGCCACAGGAAGCCCAGGGAAGCTCTGTAGTAAAGCAGTTGAACAAATAGAAGATAGCCCATGCTAAAATGATGATGTAGTATACATTTAGGTGTGCCTCTATAACTTGGGTAGCATAGCCAATGCCTGGAGGAGCAAAATAAAAAGTGAGATTCAAAAGAAAACTTCTCCTTTTCAGGCTGTATTTAATTTAAAAACAAAAGCTTACTCGTAGGTATATCTTAACTTCAATTTTGCTACAATTAATTTCATTTTACTTCAAATGGAATGCTTTCTTTTGCAGAAGAACACAGAATTGTTACCTTCAAAGAGAGGGCAAACTTTCCTCCAGCATGTGATGCCTCCTTCGCTTGTGAACTGTCCCAAGGCCGTCTCCAAGAAAAATACTGGGATTCCACAGCAGATGAAAAACACCACGTAGGGGATGAGGAAAGCACCTGGGGGTGAACATCGAGGGGGCGTTGGTTAGAATGAACAGGATGCCTCAGGAGCACAGGGAGGATTTTTCCATTAAAGGAAGGATCTTGAGCTGGGAGCCATCAGTGCAGTGCAGGAAGGGTTTACTCCTGCCCCAAATATCCAAAGTTAACCTGTAAACCAGGGCCATGGGCTAAAACAGAGCAGATCAAAGTTTTTCAGCCTAAAGTCAGTCTCTCAAACACAGAAAAGACCCCAGCCATGCTCAGCTCAAAGTTCTGCTCTGCCCAGCACCACCCTCCTTGCTTTTCTCAGGGGTGAGGAAATGTTACAGATATTAAATCTGAACAACCCATTTCATGTTAACCCATTTATATGATAAGAATTGAGAAAAGGGAATGAGGAAACAAACCTCAGAACCACTTACAAGGACAAGAAAGCCTTATCAGCCAGAAATATTGATGTGAAATTCTAGGAAAATAACAAAGCATCCATGCTTTGGTTGGATGCTGACAGAAAACTCCAGCACAGGTAGTGAACCACAGCAAACCCAACCACAGCACACCCACACCCTGCAACAGCTACTGGGCTTCAGTCACTTTGATTAGAATGCTGGGACAACTACATCTACCTGCTCTGATTTTCCTTCATCTCATCACCAGGAGTTCCTGCCCTCAGCCAGGAAATTTCCCTAGAGACGAGTCCCAGGTGCCTCTCAAGAAATCCGCGGGGATTCCACAAAAAATTGAATATTTCCCTGGATAATTTACTGGCCAGTATCATCACACACACTCTCACAGCGAGTTGAACAATGCAGCTTGTGGAAATCCAAAGTACCAGCTTGTTTTTCCAACAGGAACATTAGAAAATATCAGGATGCCCAGCTTACAAAAAGATCATATTACAAGAAATACCTCATTCTAAACACACAAAGAAATTATTTTTCCTCAAAACCTGAACATCCACAGCCCAAACTTCCAGATGATTATTCCTACACTCCCTGTTATGGCTTGGAGAAAGTGCCAGAGAGGTCACACCTCACAAGTTCCAAACTACAGCCTCTAAATTTTTTCTGTAAAAAGCAATTTATTTCACAACTAGCTCAGATATTTACCACTGTCTTCCCCCAGCACACACCAAGGAGTTGGATGCACCAGATTTAAGCACTAAAAACAAACTCTGGTCTAGTTCCAGCAGGGGGTTACACAAGCTCACAGACTGAGCCTCCATTGACTAAAACTGGTCAATGGCAAATGTCCCATGGTGCCAGGACACGAGCAATTAAATCACACCCACTTATTCTATTCTTAAAGAGTACAGTGATGATTAAATATGATATTTAAGTAATTACTTTTTCATCAAATCACCCAAAACAATGATGGAAATTCTTTCTACCCCATGTTACAGCCTTTAAAATAATAGCAAGCTGGCACACACTCACAAATGGGCACCTAAAGCTGCAGAAACCAAAAAACTACACAGCAAATATATATTCCTGTCATTTCCTCTGCCAAAAGTTCTCTGGGAACACTTTGACCATCAACAAGAAAGGCTTGTGTATATGATGTGCAGCATGTTAACATTCAGGATCTGGTAGCAGCACTCTCTAAAGAGCTGAACTCTTGTTGCCTAAGTTTGGCCAAAATACAGAGACATAAAGAAAGGAACTTCCAACAATAAACACAATTTGCACAGCAGGGTTTGTCTTGTAGGAACAGCACACAAAATGGGCTAAAAACCATGCCTGAGTTCAGATAAGGAGGGACAAGGAATAGAAATTTGGCACAGCAAACCAACCCATCGAGGAGCAGATCAGTGCTTATCAGCCCTCAACATCCTATTTTTCTTCCAGCCTCTGTGTTTACACTGCCACTGACTCAGGCCTTAAGTGGGAAGAATGTTGAACCCAGTCCACAATATTCTAAACTGAGTTTGTAATTTACTTTCCTTTCTTCCCTGCTGCCCAAGCTGATGTGCTTATTCTCAGCTGTCATTTATCTTACACAGTTTACAGTTGGCTATAACCAATACGTGCCACATGTTATACTCTGGAGAAGTTGAGTCTGCTCTTTCCTCTCTCAAATAACATTCAGAAGTTGTATTTATTAGGGCTTGCTCTCTTCAGCCTGTAGTTTTACATTTTTCCTGCCTTGTAGGAATTGGAGAAGTACGAGGGGAAAAAAAAGAACATTGAGGTATAAAAAATTTCATGAGACAAAGAGAATTAATTTAGTCTTTGTGGCATTGTTAGGAAAAAAAATATTCATCCTCTCCAAAGTACACTGCTGTGACAAATGAAGTGCTGCCTTCTTTTCTGTGTCAGACAAACTTAGTTAAGTATGCCTGGGTGTGTATTCACATGCAGAAGACAGAGTGTACTACTATAACTGAATGCTGGCTTCTCCTGCATGAAAAAATGCTCCTGAAAAAAAGATGTCAATTTACTAACGTAACAGCAACTTGTAAAAATAAACCACACAGTGTTTGGAGAGAAGGGAAGGGAAACACGACGATTTTTCTCAGTTGTCAGATGTTAATGCTTCCCTGTGTGCACATGCACTGAAACCCTGAACACGTCTCTCTTACTAGTGCAATAAATCACAGCAAGGCACTCTTAACTGTTTAATTCCCGTGTTTAATTCCCATCTAAATCCACATGTGATGCCATCTTACCTCCTCCATTCTTGTAGCAAAGGTATGGGAATCTCCAGACGTTTCCCAGCCCAATAATCTCCCCTGCCACAGAAAGCACAAATTCAACCTTATTGTTCCAGTGCCCTCTTTCATGAACTTTCTTATCATTGCTGTGGACGAGGTTGGTACTTGAGGCTTCTGGGTCCAAAGCATCTTCCGGCTTGCCATTAATTATAGGAATAGTCTTTTCAGCTGTCATGACTTTTCAGCCTAGTGGAGAACAAAAGAGGAACACACAGGTGTGTTAGGACGTTTGCTGGCACTGATCTTCAACCTCTGAAATCCCCCAGGGTGGCACTGGCTTCTTGCTACCTCTGGAAATCTGTGGGTGAAAATGAGGGAGGCAACTCCACAAGGCTGGAAAAGTTGTAAAGCAGGGGGAAAAGGAGAAGAAAGGGGTGGGGGGAAGAGAGAAATTCTGTGCAAGGGAAGGAGTAATTCCAAGTGGTGACAGCTAACTTGCTAGCAGACAGGGAAACCTTTCAAAAATCCCTCCCCAGGCAAGGATCCCACCCTTGCTGACCTACCAGAGGCCGGGGATGTGCCGCACCTCCCGGGCTCACACCTGAGGGCCGGGGTG